GATATGCAACTGGATTGATTTCTGTAGAAATAGAAACTGGTCTCAGCCTTCGATAGTCCAACTTGTTGACCACGTTTCTAATCCAAAAAGTCAATTAAAGACACCTATGAAGTCAAAGCAGTGTCTATGAAGCTTTTAGGAAGCTTCCATATTAAATACTATAGAATTAACTTACTTTTACTTACTTCTACCTATTTGTATATGTAATTACTAGCTTACATGAGTATGTCCATGACACTTTGGTAGAAAAAAATATTCATAAATAATATGATTTACACTAATTATAATAATCAATGTAGTTTTTAAAGTTTTTCTTTGTAAGTTTTTTTTTTACTTTAATGATAATTTAATTTTTTTATATAAAATATCCAAGAATATAAAAACCTTACATGGCTTTAGAATCTTATTCTAATTCTTTACAATAATCTCTGTAAGTAATATATATTATTTTAAAAAATCTAAAAATATATTCTAAAAATATTTTAAAAATTATAAAATATTTAGAAATATTTTTTTAATATTTCTATGTTATCAATATTTAATTGAAACTATTTAAATATATCTAGAAAAAATTTTTGAGCAACCAAATCAATTTAAGTCGAATTCTTTGTTTTTTAATAAAGAACTAAAATTTTATTATTTATTTTTTATATTTTTTATATCTAATAGATATTATATATAATTTCATATTTTATAATAGATATAAATAATTTAAAATTTAAAATATTAGACTTAAAAATTAAATACACATACATACACATATACACACACATACACACATATATGTATATATATATATATATATATATATATATATATATATTACATGAATTAGGATAATTACTTCGACGACTTATTTAAACTTTAATTTTATGATTTTAACTTAACATGACTCTTTTTACTTCTACAACCTTCTAAATTTTAATCAATAATTTTAAAATCAAATAAATTATATAACTTAATAATGATTTTATCTTAACAACGTTTAAATGTTGTGTTTGATGAATCTACAAATAGAGATGCAATAGTAGGATTTTACATAGTTTTAGATGTTTTTTTTAAAGAAAGTAAGGCATAAATAGAAAAATATTTTTTTAATTTTTGAATTGTATAATGATAAATAAATATGTATTGATTTCTTTAATTTTTAGATATATTTTATTAAATAAAATTTAAACACATCATCAATGTATTCTATCAAGTAATTGACAATATTTCTTAGAAGATGTAATTTTAAATAGAAAATATACAAAGTAATAAACATAATAAATACTTTTTATTTTTTTTTCTTGCTAATATACATAGTTATTTTATGAAGTATTATAATATTAAAAAGTATTTTCTCATAAATTTTATTATAATATTAAAAGTATTTTTTCTAAAATAACAAAAAAATTAATTATTGAGAGGATTTTTTTTTAAAGATTTCATTAATTACTGTACTTATTATTGTAGCTCTGTAAAAATTATAAAAAATAAAGTACATATTTTTTTCATTATTTCCTTCTTTATTTATCATTCTATTTTTTTCAATTAAGAATATTATTAAATATTATTTTCTTCTTATATTAACTTTTTCATTAAAATTTAAAGATATTTAAATTTTTAATGTAATTTATTATTATAATTATTAATGAAAATAAATTTTTATTTAAAATTTTAATTTTAGAAAGAGATGTTTGTCTATTATTTTTTATTATATTGAAGTAGAAACCAATGTGATTCATTTGTATGTTTATTTTTATTTTTTTTGGTTTTATCCTATTTAAAGTTATTTTATAAATTAGCATACTATATATCTTAAGTCTAAATATAGTTATTCTACCAATCTTACAATTTTTTTATATTTTAAGTTATACCCTTTTAAATCTTTTAGATTTAAAAGATATTAAATTTTTTATTTTTAAAATTAAATTCTTGTAATTATTTTTAATATTCTTCTCTATTACATGTTAAAATATTAATATTTTTATACAATAAAATAAATTATACTTATATAGTTATTTTATTTACTATTTTATTTTCTTTAAATTTTATCAATTTTTTATTTTTTTTGTACATATCTAAATTCGGATTTTAATTTTTTAGATTTAATTACTTATTATCATTATTATTATTATTATTATTATTATTATTATTATTATTATTAAGTTTTAGTTTTAAAAAATAAATTGATATAACTATAATATATACTTTTACATTCTTATTATAAACTACAATTAAGTAAGTAAGTTATTGCCTTAGAATAAGATCTATTGGTTTTTGTGAGATACACTAGAACAACTTCCTATGCTTTTTATAGTGACTATGATTCAACATCTCAATCATACTAAATAGCTAAAATTTTGTAGCCCAAATCTTATTATGATTTCCATAACTCTCTACTTTTTTCAAAAGGAAATAAAAATTATTTAGCATTGATGACAAAACTTCAAAATAGATAATCCTTTTAATATCTAGTCTTGTAAGCAATATAAGTTCATTGCAAAGTGTATATGCAGTTGTCTAAAAATCATGTCCAGTCATTAAAAGCCATACATTGAAGGTCTAAAAAATCATGTATTGCTTTAAATTGTCAATACATCACTTATAATAAAAAATTTGGCTTGTTGCAAAATTTATTCAATTGAAGTAATAAGTTCATTAGTTAAACCTTATATATTTCATTAGTATAATTTTTTTTGCAAAGGTGCTAAACTTAAAGCTATATAATTTACAATTTTTATACAAATTATGTCTTTATTTATGTACTTTCTTCAACTAATGTGCTTTGCAACCCCTCTTTGTACTTTTGATTGTTCATTTCTTTATGTGCTTATGACCATCTTTATACTATTAGTTCTTTTTTTTTTTCTTTTATGTGCTTAGCACCTCCTTTATGTTGCTGATCCATCTTCTCTTTTCAAATTTTTGTTAAATTTTGGTTTAGGCCACATAATTTATTTATTTATTTTAACAATTCTTCTAATTACTATTCTACAACTTGCATCATGTCCTTATTGCTTTTGTATTATAAGTGAAGTGCTTCTATAAGTAAATTACAATTATATCACAATATAACTTCTACTACCTATTAAAACAAGAATTCAATTATATTAAATATAAATTTATTTATTAATTTATGTATTTAAATGACCTTGGTAATGATTATATTTTATTTAATTATATTTCTTTTGCTTATAATTTTGATTTTTAAGAATTGACTAACTTTTTATAATACTAAATCTAATTTAATTAGAGTCTTTTGATTTATCATATTAATATTAAGTGTGATTTGATCCTTTAATGGTATAATAAAATTTCAAAGTTATAAAATCTTAACTTGTTGGATATATGAATTAAGATATCTATTTCAAAAGAAATAAATTTATTCTTAGTTAAATAACACCAAATAGTTATAATTAAATTTTTTAATAATTAATAAGAAAAGATTTAAAGATATTTTATAAATAAAATTTAACTATTTATATATATATATATATATATATATATATTAATTATTGCTAATGCCACCATATTTTTTGCTACTACCACCACAATTTACCATCCATCACATGCCATCTCAATTTTTGCTAATGCTAGCACAAGTTGTCGTAAACTTATAATACACACTATGCATTATATGGAACACTAAAATGTACATCTACAAAGATTATAAACTTTATCTATTATAGTGTGCATTAGCAATATTCTATAAAGTGTATTATAGTGTATAACATAAGTTTACATTAGTTTGTGGTGGCATTGAAAAAACTTTTGATAGCATGTAATAGATGGTAAGTTGTGGTGGCAATAACAAAAACTATGGTGGAATTAGTAACACCATGTATATATATCTTATTATTTTATTTCAAAATATTTTAATGTATTTCTTTAATTTTTATTTACAACAAATCATGTATAATATAATATTATATATACTATAATTAAAAATAAGTATCATAGTCTTTTATTGAACTTTGTAATATTAAAAAAAAAATTATGCTATTGCATCTAAAAAGTAATGATTTTTTATGCTTAATGACATACTTATGATTAAGATAAAACAAAATTTAAATATTTTCACATTTAAGAAAACTTAGAATATTGAAAATGTGTTCTATTTTAATATAAAAATAGTTTTCAAAATAAATTGGCACTAGTCATCTATAAAATTAATATGAAAGAATACATACCACCATAACATTAACTTCTAATTTAACACTTCATTGGGGCAGTAACATATTTTCTTGTGTGTAAATTGTGTTACCATGTTTCAACCAATAAGATTTCCCTATTTATTCTAAAAGTGAGAATGGAAAAAAAAAATCACATCACAAAGCCAAGATTTTAAAAAATACTAGTATATGATCCTATGTTCAATTTATTAGGGGAGCTACAATATAATTCTGGGAAAGGTTCTTATGTTGTAGACCTTTCCTTGGATCCAAACTATCTTAGAATTTTGAAGAAAGTTCCCAGCAGTATATTTTAGTAGTGTCAAAAAATCCTATCATTTGGTTTTGCTTTAACCGTAACTTGCATCGGGTTTGCTACAGCAAATGCAGCTGATCATCACTCACCGATTGAAGGAGCCGGATTAGGTGATGCAGGAACGAACATGATAGTACAGATCCTGCACCAGATTGAACTACTTGTTCAAGCCGCTAGCTGTCGTTCTTGAAGAATCTTCACACCCATGTATCTGAATACAAATACAAGTTCATAAGTACCTGGGTACGAAGGACGGTTGAGTGTACATATCTACCAAACTGAAGTCAATCTAGAGCACTTCACAGAATTAATAACAATTCGGTAACATGTGAATAAGAACTGTGAACTTTCGAAAGCGCAGCTCCACTAAGTAGAGAATCTGTCCTGCAGATGAAAGCCTACCTGCCAAGCATCATTACTGTTGCTTGCGGATTTGTGCCAGGTGAAGAATTAAAAGTGGATCCGTCAATTACTCTAAGTCCGTGGGCTCCAATGACACGGTACTCCGCATCAACGACTCTCCCAACTTGGCAGCCTCCGTGGTATTGCCAGATGGTAGTCACTGTATTACGGCACCATTCTGAGAGTGTTTTCACATCCTGCTCAGATGGCATTACATTCCCTATCAGCTTCGTATTGTTGAGTGCAGAATACGGGAAACTTGTGTATGTAAAATCCTTCATAGCTTCTGATTTAAGAATTTGTTGTACCACTCGTGCAGTTTCGGTGCATGTATACAGATCTTCAGAGTCCCTGTCGAGGCGGGCACGTCCACTTTCTGAAAAATAACGCCAGCTTGTCCAAGCATTCTTTGAGTTTCAAGAGGCAGATTTCTGAGCTCTTCTATATTCTTTAACAATAGGTTTTTGCTTCTTAAACTCGGAGGCGTTGTAACTAGCGATTCCAATTGGAACAATACAGCTCGGATGCCGCTAGATGTTTCAATGAAGCCTCCAAAATCAGTAATCCCGACTGTCTGCATCAGCGAAATCTCCACAGGAATTCGAGACGGAACATACATGGAATTCGCTGGGTTATCAGTCATGCCCTTCCCAACGCTTGACGAGTTCAAAACTACAGGTACTCGATATGGTTCGAGTATGTCCACATCCCCAACCCCGCTCAACATAAGAAAGTGTGGGCTTCCAATTGCACCAGCTGCCAGTAGAATTTGGCTCTTCAAGGGTTCACGAAGCATTGCTAGATGCCGAATGCCTAGGCTGTCAGAGAACACGGTTCCAATAGCTCGGGGGGGACTCCTTGGCACTGAAAGTGAAATACTGACATCAAAGAACAAATATCCAACTTGCGAGTAGCGGATGCATAACAAATGTTTTGACCGTATCAACAATGTATTCATGATTATCATTACATATGGCTATACATGGGTTAACCAAAGCTTGTAATAATTCGTGTCGAATAGTAGTTTGAGCTGTAGATGCATAAACAAAGTTGTTCTTGCAAATTGGCGGCGCACCAATGCCATCGTACAGATGGAATGTCTACTTTGACTATTTCAGGGAATAACGCACTTCAATTGTAAATACCTGGGGGAGCGAAGAGGATCCTGTGCACGTTTGCGAAGAGTAGAACCGTGATGTTATTCGGGTTCGCGAACTGAAGCAGGTCAGCGGCTGTGTGACGCTTCCCAGCCTCGTCGAAAATTGAACCCCCAACTTTCGTGCCGCTGGCATGCTTGTAAGTCCTCCCATTGTCCGGACCAACACCTACCTCCAACAATGCGTCTCGCACTGCTGTTTGCCACTGTTGCAATCGAGGAAAGAATGCCACGACGCTCTCAACCCACTCATAAGCGGACGCCACCATCCCCGCGTCCCAGCCGGCTCTGCTCACGTAATCGTCGCTGGCTCGGCTGTAGAACCCCGCGTTGATGGAGCTGCCTCCTCCAAGCACCCGAGCGCGCCGGTTGAACACGCCATCCTGGGACTGGAAACTCTGTACGGGCGAGAACCAGGTGTTGCCCTGGATGTTGGAGATGAGTTTTCCGAAGTTGGCGGCACTCTCGATGTCAGGGTTGCCGTAAGGCGTGTTTCCTCTTTCGAGCAACAGAACAGAATAGTTAAGCGACAAGGTGGCCGCGAGAGGACAACCCGCAGTGCCGCCGCCCACAATGATGTAGTCGAAATCGGTGGCAACAGGCGGCGCAGCGGAAGCATTCTTCAAAAATGGATAATCGCCACCTGCTTATCCCACAATGCCTGCTGCTATTCAATTTGTATTCTTCAGAAAGTATTGTTGTATTGGTTTATCATGAAGTGGTTTCAATCTTGATCTACAGAATTTCTTGTAAACATTCTTGCAATAACTGTGGATGGATGACATGCACACGCATTCTGTGCACCTAGAAGATATGAGCATCGTCTTAAAATATATGTGAGTTAATTCTAGTAACTTCAATTGTTTATAGAGTTCCTTAACAGGGTCCTGAGAATCTAATATTCAGCGCTAGTTTGTAGGGTAGTATATTTACAAACCGGCAGCGTTAGCCAGTGGCAGAAACAAGAGTATGAAAACAATCACGATCACCAGTACGCAAACAGCCTTCCATTTAGCGAGGCTCATTAGTACACTTTTGTGTATCTTCGAAAGCGCAGTTGTCCCCCTTCACAAACATGACAGTGAAAAATGAGCAAATGAGTCTCCGTAATTGTTTACTCCGGTAATACAATGGCAAAAGAGATGTTGCGAATAAGAGCTTTGAAATTTTACTGTTGAATTCGAAGTATGATCCAACATACAGTAGGAAATCTAAACACTTAGCATTTTCTTGACCTTCTTATAGGAGTTGTTTTGTCAGAATTATTGCGTAAGCAGCAACACATACGTCATTCACTGGCTCTAGTCTAGTCCATTTAGAACTTTTTTCAGAATACCTCTAGTTTCTTCCTGGTTCAAATGTTATTCGCATGTATATTACTAACACTTCAACTGCTTCCACCAATAACCAACATCACCTTCACCGTCATACGCCTGTCACGACGCCTATTCCTGTTCTACGCACACCAAACTCCTAATCTTATCCTTCTTATCAGAAATTTCCGAACCTTGTTCCGTCATGTGTAATATAAATTCCACTTGTCTAACACCTGATCCTCTGAAGCTTCAGTCTCATCTAGACTGGTATTATCGTCACTGGAATCAAGGAGCTGTGTATGATCATCATCTGATTCGTACCTGCTTCCTAAAGTACACATGAACATCGTATCCAGACAACACTGCGTTATATTTCCCACAACTGTTCTGAAGCACCTGAAAAGCGCAACAAAGGCTCCGCTCGGATGCGCCATCGTACCCGACAACACGAATCCCGAGCAATCCTATTAGACAAACTTATAAAATTACCTTCATCAACAAAATACTCAAAAAAAAGTTGTTCCAGTTCAGATTTCAGTGCACGGACATGTTGGACTTCACATCAGGCTAATCCAGAAGTGATAGGCGCCACTGAAAATGGTCTTCGTCACTGTAAAGAGCTCGTCACACACCGGACGAGGTCGACATGAACATGGGAAACAATAATGGAGAAGAGCCCTGGTGGGATCCGACTCAAGCAGCATGCATGCTCAAGTAGGCACCACTGAGGGATGAGGCGAGAGTTTGAAAAACGTGGCCAGGAAATTAAATTCCGGCGCCACTCACCTCTTCCTCCCGCCATTCCACTGATACCGACGTCGAGCGCGCCATTGCCCGCTCTTTTCGTGATTGTGAAACGTTGCGTTTGAAACCCTCACTCTGCTAAGCCCGGAAACTGGATCAGCCTACGTGGCACTTCTCCTTTTTCTTTTTAAAAATTATTTACTAATTGTTGGTGTTACCTTTTCAATGACAAATTACTTCATTGATAATTTTTTAGTCTTTGTCTCTAAGAATTTCATTTGAGATTTGTATATTTCATTGCCATGTTGAATTTTGACTACCATTTATTATACTTCTATGTCATGGTCAATGATGGAAAGTATATTTTATTTAATTTTACAAGTAAGCAAATATTACATTATATATATATATATATATATATATATTGGTAATTAGAGTTTTCCAATACATTGATCAATTCTTTTAAGTTAAATTTATTTTTTTAGTAAGAAATCTATTTTCTGTTCAAGTGTATCATTTACAAATAAATCGTGTTGCTTAATCAATATTTTAAATTATTATTATTTTTAGCTTAAAAAGACAAATTTTCATGCTATTATATGTATATAGTAGATTTAACTATATAAACATGTACAAACACACAACCTAAATAAAATGCCCACCTATATGTGTCATTGATCTGATAATAAGTATTTTGATATAATTGAAGGCCTTTGATTATAATTATGATGTTTAAATTTTCTTAAATACTTTTGTTTCTTTTTTAACAAATAGTACCACATATAAAGATTTCATAAGCAAATATATGTTTGAGACCCAAGCAATAAATCTACATTGTAACAATAAATTTAGGAGAATGTTAAATAGATACATGTTTTTACTAAATAGATCCACCTTTAATGAAGAATATGATTATCATAATGAATGTGGTTGGTTTTTATTGGTTGCAAATCCAATAGTGGATAAATGAATCTAGAGATCATTGTTTTTTTTATTTTGATGGTTAGGATGAATGGGTTGATTGAGTAAAAACTTGGGTCTATTTATCATTCTTCTAAATTTATGTATAAGAAGATAGAAATCTAACATTTATTGTAAAATTGATGATACTACTACTACAATTGATTTTATAGTGAACATGCACTTCTTTTATTGATTTGCTCAAATAAGAAAAAAAGAAAGATAAAAACCACTTATAAAGTTTAGCTATCAGAAATTAGTTACAAAGATGTATAAAAATATGTAAACATTTGTTTAATGTAATTGACATTTTTAGGACTTTATAGAAATTATTTTTAATATTTAAATAATTTAAAAGTCATAGATTCTATTTGAAGTTTTTTTCTAATTTTTTTTTCTTATCGTTGCAGTAGAAGAAAATTTTATTTTAAATATAATAAAAAACCATAAAGACATGTATTAGAATTAAAGAAAGTCTTTTTTATTTTTATATAAGGACTAATAGGAGATGTCAAAAAATTGTGAATTTACTTTTCAACTATTGATTTATACAAATTGTCGTAAAAGATTATTCACATAAATCTTCTAATTTGGCGCCCAAAAATATTAAAAAAAAAAGAAAAAAAAGAAAAATTGTATTTTAAAAAATCAAATATGATATAAATAAAATAATTGATATACTTAAGATATTTAAATCTTATTGAATGAAGTTGATTATACATAAACTTAAAAATAAAATAAAAATCTTTACTAATTAATAACAAGTAATATTTTTAACTTTTTTTTTTTAGAAAACAAGATAATGATATAAAAATCTATTATTAATATTATGAAACCAAAGTAGTAGCAAAAGTCATACATATTTATCTACGTTTCTTTTGTGAACTAAACTAAACAGTGATACTTCACATTATTTAAAAAAAAACACTTTATAATGTTTAAAAAATTATCACGTATTAAATTTTAATTTATTTAAGAAATTGATACAGCTATAAAAAAATAATTTATTTTATTTAAGCAAGATTTTTTTTCCTTAAGATCAAATACAAAACATGAGATCATATGAAAATGTCATCAAATGATTTGGTTATTTAATTATTAAATTTCTAATTAAATTTAATACCAAATGCTATTCAAATTGAATGGAATAAGAATTTATTAAATTAAAATTAAAATTTTATAAATTCTATATTAAAAAAATAAAAAAATAAATCCTATATTAAAAAAATAATAAATTTATCTGACATACTCATTAAAAATAAAATTTATCATCCTTTATAAGGATATTGAAATGCTTTAGCACTTTAAAAGTATATTAAATTGTTCAAGCCATAAAGCTCTTAAATTTACTCTATTCCTTAGAACTGTGCTATTTTAAATAGCTTTTTGGCATATAATAGTATTTTTTAATAAATTATTGATTAGAATCATGTAATTTTTTAAAGAAAATTTATTAAATATATAATATATGATCTCTTGAAACTTTTATTTAAAAACTAAAAAGACAAGAACAAGATATTTTACCTACATATTTTATCTCTTAATTAAATGTCTTAAATAGACATGTTTTTAAGTTTATGTTTATGTACTTTTTGAAAGCTAATAAAAGATTTTGAATTGATTTAAGAAATCCAATAATTTTATTATGAATGCTTAACATTCAAGAATATACAATTCAGGTTTCTTTATCCTTGAATATAAATAATTTAAAAAATCTTCATTAGGGTATTATAGTCAATATGAATAAAGTTGTTTTAAAAAAAATCTCAAATGTATAATTTTATCTTTTTAGATTCTTATACTTAGTATGTTTATAAATTATGTAATAGCTAATGACCATCAACTTAATAACTATTATGTTGATGTGTACGGTTGAATATTACAAAAAGTGATGTAAACTAAATTGTTCATTGGCCGTTGAGAAGTTTCACAATGTGGAATAATCCCGTAATCAGGAGTGTACTCTTTTCATCTGGATGAGGTGGGCTGTGCAGTTGAAGTGCTCGCGGATCGAAATTCTCGAACATCAAATACTTTTTATGTTCATGTCCGAAGAGATGTTTTACCATCTTTAAAGAACGGATCGGAATCGAGGCTTCTGTCTTAGTCGGACAGCATGTCACTTTGTTGGGACAAATGCAGACAGCATCGGCGGTGGAACTCAAGAATGACCACGAGACAATTCCCTTGGTCGCTGCAACATTTGAAGATGTGGCTAGACTTGTCCTTCAATACATTGATGTTGCATCATTCAGTTATTCGAGATGCAGGTTCACGATTTATAATTACGAAACTTAGGGTTCTCCACTCTCATTTATTGAAACTGCGGTTGAAAGGAAATGGCGCTTGAAGTTCATATAGCACCATGAGTTCAAATATGTCAGGAGATTGTAGGAGTATTCACCTCACGAGCTATGCTGCTCGGAGTGTTCTGGAAGTAATCTATCGCTGTAGCAATGATCGCGTCGCGAACTATTAGGTTTACGTAGCGTCTTCATATGAATTCCACAACAAAAAGATGATAGAGCTAACTCAAATCTTATCCTTCCTACTCTGAGATACTGCTACAATTTCCATGGCAATTAATTGAATAGGATTGACTGCACTCGCACGTCAGTAACTCTAAAGAGAAATTTGTCTCAACCTCAAGTTCGTTAATCCAGACTTCCTCAGTCAAACATCTCCATCCTCTACTCATTTCGGCCTACTGAATTGCCGAGCAGGCCTATATGTTTCTGAGTAAATGATGAGACAGACTTTGGCTTGTCAGAAAAGTCAAGCACCAGCATTCAGTTGACTTATTGTGCTGCATATATCTACAGTGTCACAGAACCAATTTCCAGGAGTGTATTGAGCTAGTCAAACTCCCCCCTGTACAGAATTTTGAGAACTAATGGTAATCTAATATCAGTATAGACCTGCCTTTCGCGATTTGGAGAGACTAGCTTGGCAGAAGTGTCCTTGAACTGCTTATTCTACTATCTTAACCTTAATATGTGACATGGAGTTTTTGTGCTGAAGTTGGACTGTGCCAAAAAAGATAGTCACACCTGGACATACTTTAAAGCACACTACCCTAAGCAAGCACTAATCGAAATATTCCAAGAGCTTAAAAGTAAAAAACAATATCAGATTTTTTTACTGCTCATCTTACCGCTCTTTGTCGATCCTGATGTATCTTCAACCCCATGTATCTGAATCAAAATACAAAGGTTATTACATTCGTCAGTTTCGTAGGGTGTATACATACGTAATTTTTTCCCAGTAACGGAAGCGAGATACCAAGTCAATACAACAAAGTGAAATGATGAGTACAATAGAATATCAGCAAATGATGCAATGTTTTTGGTAGTTGTAACATTTACTGATGTCGCTTAATTTAGTGATTTCATACCTGCCTAGCATCATCACAGTTGCCTGGGGATTCGTTCCTGGCGAGGAATTAAACGTTGACCCGTCTATAACTCTTATACCGACAGCCCCAATGATCCTATGCTCATTGTCCACGACAGTTCCAACTCCACAGCCTCCGTGATAATGCCAGATCGTAATAACTGTATTGCGGCACCATTCTGAGAGTGTATCCACGTCCAGCCTGGTTGGTATCAAGTTGCCCACTAATTCCGCGTTGTTAAGAATCGTTTCGGGCAAGGTTGTGTAAGTATAGTTTCTCATGGCTTCCGTTTCAAGGATTTGTTTCACCATTCGCGTGCTCTCGATGCAAGTGTACAGATCTTCAGGTTCTGAGAAGTAATTAAACTGAACAAGGGGGTTGTCTTCAATATTGGATTGGTTAAGAGTTAGATTTCCTTTCGAAGATGGGCCATCTACCTTCTGCAAGATGACACCAGCTTGTCCTAGAATCTGTTGCGTTCTCACCGGCAAATTGTTGAGTGCCTCTGCATACTTGACAACAAGTTCCTCGCTTCTAAACCAGGGTGCCATTATACCTAGAGATCCTACTTGCGATAAACTTGCCTGGCTGCCACTCGCAGTCTCAATGAAGCTTCCGAAGTTGGTAATACCGACTGTCTCGATCAAGGAAACTTCGACTGGATTTGGAGACGGCACGTAAATTGCATTTGCTGGATTGTCAGCCATGTCCTTCCCAACCCCTGTCAGATTCACGACAATAGGTATGCCAAGTGGTCCAAGAACGTCCGCATCCCCAATCCCGCTTGTCATGAGCAGGTGCGGACTTCCGATCGCCCCAGCGGCCAGAATAACTTCGCTGCCTTCTACTTGACGAAGAGAGGCCTGGTGTTGAAATCCCAAAACATCCGAAAATACAACTCCAATAGCTCTGGGTGGACTCCCTGGTACTGGACGTCAAATTCGAATACTTGTGAGTCATTTCATGCAGATTAGAATGAGAGACTGATCTGCTTTACTTCCAGGCTTTTTAATCTTCAACCAACATCACCTTGCATAATGGTCTTGATTTTCGTCCACTTGACTAATGATTAGTCAAACATAATACCTTCCGTTGTGAGTAACAAATGAAGATGTTGTGTACACGACGGAAAATACACCTTACAGCTGAAGGTTTTGGAAAATGATGAAACAATACCAAATACTGGATAAGGGGGTATTTCGCGGATACCTGGGGGAGCGAAGAGGATCCTGTGCACGTTTGCGAAGAGTAGAACCGTGATGTTATTCGGGTTCGCGAACTGAAGCAGGTCAGCGGCTGTGTGACGCTTCCCAGCCTCGTCGAAAATTGAACCCCCAACTTTCGTGCCGCTGGCATGCTTGTAAGTCCTCCCATTGTCCGGACCAACACCTACCTCCAACAATGCGTCTCGCACTGCTGTTTGCCACTGTTGCAATCGAGGAAAGAATGCCACGACGCTCTCAACCCACTCATAAGCGGACGCCACCATCCCCGCGTCCCAGCCGGCTCTGCTCACGTAATCGTCGCTGGCTCGGCTGTAGAACCCCGCGTTGATGGAGCTGCCTCCTCCAAGCACCCGAGCGCGCCGGTTGAACACGCCATCCTGGGACTGGAAACTCTGTACGGGCGAGAACCAGGTGTTGCCCTGGATGTTGGAGATGAGTTTTCCGAAGTTGGCGGCACTCTCGATGTCAGGGTTGCCGTAAGGCGTGTTTCCTCTTTCGAGCAACAGAACAGAATAGTTAAGCGACAAGGTGGCCGCGAGAGGACAACCCGCAGTGCCGCCGCCCACAATGATGTAGTCGAAATCGGTGGCAACAGGCGGCGCAGCGGAAGCATTCTTCAAAAATGGATAATCGCCACCTGCTAAACGAATACTGACTGCTGGGACCAGTTAGCTGATGATCGTGATATAATGTAAATTTTCTCTTAGGTTGCATATTTCTAATTGATGGCGAGGTGGCATTTGTGACAATTCAAGTGCAGTTAAACCTTGCACCAATGCACTTGCATACATTAGCCATCTCTTACAAAACTAAGCAGTATGTCGAACTAAAATTTTGAGGTTTACAGTGTAGGTTGAGGAAACTGGACTGACCAGCAGCGTTTGCCGAGTACTGAGACAATCTTGACAAGATTACCAAATTAATCGCCACCAGCAGGCGCATAATCCTCAATCTAATGCCGGTGGCCATGTCTTCTACTTCTCGATCAGTTTCCACCCGCTGACCTTATGAATTAAAAATGGTAGGAACAGTATAGTGGACAGTTAGTGATTCCGTCTGATAAAACTTGTAGACAAGTTTATGTACACAAGTTTATGTGAAGACCTTCGCCGCTGAAGGCAGTAGAACTTCTAATACCAGCAGAAGACATCTAATTAGTTTTTATGAAGTTTTTGCCTTCGCGAGGTAGACAGTATTTGTTCTTTCAAGCACCAATTCATGATCCAATAACAAAACTCATTAGATATTGCTACAGCAGTATTTCATTTAAACTTTGCATGACTGCACTGACATCCTACTCCTGACCGGTATACATTGTTCAACTTCTCGAGCGGATCGTCACTGAATCTTACGTCGCCTTTCTAAATACACAGTTGTCTTCTCGGCGACGGATCCATTGAAAGAACTTCACATAAGTACTGATCAACAAGAAAATGACAGCGAAATTTTTTTTACTGAAAGAGACTATGAGGATCCAAATCCTAATTCTCCACCTCAAATGTGATCAAACGGTTTCGAATCGTATCTGTGGAACTATCAGCAATATCAAAGCAATTCTACCTTTCTTGACGACAGGTTGCGCAAGAAACTCAAGTTTTCAAGGGCAGTTCGCAGCGGTCCCGCTCCTCTGGAACACCTTGTGCGAAAGGAAAATTTGAAAGAGAATAGAGAAGAAGCCCATGAACGCTGATCATCGATGGTGTCACTGTAGCACTCATGATCCTATGGACCCGCCACGACACCACGTTCAACACAGAATCAGAGCTTCAAGCGTTCACGGACCAGGAAAGTGGATGAAATCCGGAGTTCATCCACGAGAACTCATGGATGAATCTGATGTTCATGGAGTGGACGCTTGAAGCTGCTCATTGCATGTATTTTGGAGGGGTAATATTTACATGATTTTTAAAGCAATCATGTTTAATATTTGCAAGTATAAAATAAAGAAAATATTTCTTTATTCACCTCGTTGATAGGAGTTATTGCGTGAATTTCAGGTGCAATTTTATCCATATTTTTTGTTCATGCAAGATCACTTTCATTCTAGATAAAAATTAGTTTTAAATTTTAAATGTGATTTATTTATGGACTTAATGTAATTTGAAATTTAGATAATACTTGACTATCAATTTCAATCAAAATTATTAAAAAGTAAAATTTGAAAGATTTGAGAATCAGAATTTTTGTATTAAAAAGATGAGTAAATAAATAAATATATGGTATTTAATCTAATACTATAATAAATTATGTTTAATTTAATAATTGAATAATTAAATATATTAATACATTTATTATTTTGGTTTCTTTATCAATAATAGTTTACATTTATTTATTTATTTTATTATAAGTGTTTAAAAAATATTTTTTAAATTTTTATTGTTATAATATAATAATTAGAGTTTATAATATAATTATTAAAATACCATAGATTTATAAAAAATTAAAATCTTAACATTATTGAAAAATAGTAGAATTATAATCTAAAGATCATGCTTAAACAAATATTTTATAAATTAAATAGTAATTAAGTCATCAATTTTTTAAACTTTTATATTTTTATAATAATACAAATTTTTATAGTAAATCCTATCTTTTACATATTATCAATTTTAGGTTTTACAATTATAAAACATAGAATAAAATTCTTAACAAAAGTAGTAAATATCAGTGAACCAAATTTTAATAAATATGATTCTATATAAGAATCTACTTTCATGCTTAAGTAGAAAAAGTGGATTTTTTAGCTTAAGCTTTAATAAGATTTAATAATAAATCTAAAAGTCATGTTTTAAAAAATAAATAAATAAACAAATAATAAATAATTTATATAAGTCTTATTAGAAGCAATGTTTGAATAATTATTAATCATTATCTACCAAGGTGTTAAATCTTGAGGATAATAAGCATACAACACAATAGCATTGTATTGCTTGTCATCTTTACAAGAATGTAATATTGCATATTACTTAATGCCTAATTTGGCTTCTTGGATTCTTTTGTTTAACTTAAAGCAATGGCATATGCAAACTTGATAGATTTGGTATTATATATAAGGCAAATTTGGATGAAAGATGAAGTTGGCAAGGTGGTATTATTTATAAAAGAGCAGAATGTGGAAGTTAGTCACAAATTTTTTGTCATTAAGTTAGGAAAGAAAAGGTATTATCACTAATCAAATGCTTTTTGGTTAGATTTTCTGGATGTTTATCATCTATATATATTTAAGTTTACTATTTACAAATATTGTAAGAAAATTCTTGTCATTTATAAGGAGTTTGAATATGCAATAGCAAATCTTATTAGAGAGTATTAAGCTTACAATTTTTTGATAAAATAATTTAAGAAATTAAATATTGAAGAGGATCTTTTTAAATAATATGTATCCTATGCTAAGAAGAAGCATTCCAAAGAATTAAGGACAAAAACCTCAAAGTAATAATTGAAGTGATTAAACTTGATAACAATCTTTTTTTAATCACAAAAAATGAGTAATATACTTGTTGAATAATGTTAAAAGGAGATCAAAGATAAATACAATTAGTTCTTGCAATCAACATCTTTTGTGGTTTTCTTTATTTTTAATGTATAATCTATTATCTATAATAAGCCAATTATTTATTATATGATATTATAAACATAAATATTTACTTCAATAATTACTTATGTAATATAAATAAATAAAATTAAGTAAAAATAGATCAATTTAATAATATCTTATAGAAAAGCTTCCTAAAAGCTTTATAGTTGTAATTTCACCTTTATATATATCTATAGGTGATTAATAGGTTGAATACTTAGCTAACAAGTTATCCATATGTCGCACGTGTTGGCAACTTGTAGTTCAAGCTCATTATGTGGCACACATATATAAAATTCTTGCCTCTATATATACTATCTTACTCTTGTCATTTTTTTTTTTTTTTTTTTTTTTTTTTTTTTTTTTATCCTTGTAGAAATAGCCATTCCAAATTCTTTTGAATATATATGTTCATTGATTTTTTTTTATCATTTTTCTTTCAAAAAGTCTTACTTATTTATTTATATTTATTAAATACTTGTCTTTGATAAATTAATAAGAATATACTTATAATATTATATCTTTATATTTTTTTAAATTAAGAATGGATTTTTTTTTTTCTTAATAAGACATAAGTATATTAGAAGTTTCAGATTACCTTCTTTTAAATTGATATTATTTTTAGCATTTTTTTTCTCAAGTCTTCTTTTTTATTTGTTTTGAGTAATATTAGACATTTTCTTTTTTCTAGTATTATCATGGCAGAGCTTGTTGAAATAAAGAGTACAATAGCACACATGCAAGAGCAATTGAAGAAGTTAATGCTTACAATGCATCAATTCAATTTACCATCATAAAGAATAATAAGATTGGTAAGAAGCAAAGATCTAGAGATAATATCTATATAAAATCAGGTTACTTCTCTTATAGCCAAATATCTTTTAGGTATTAGAAAACCAACAGTTGGATTATGCAAGAATTTTGATTGCATAAGATTAAAATTTTAAGGATTTATCAATCAAGTATAATTGAAGATTGAACTTCAATCCCAAAGCTATCCAATTTTATAATCATAAGTTAGATTTATTAATATACTTCTTTCAAGTTTTGTATTATCATAGATTTTATCTTTTTTAAAACAATATGATTCAATATTGAATAAATTTGAGGATTTTTTTGATAGAATATTGATCCATATATGGAAAACATCATACAATTTGTATTGCAACTAATAAGATTTGTACCTTATAACAAGACAATCAATTGATAATATTATCATTCGTAAGTTATCAAAATTAATGCTACAAAAGTATGAACTTATTGTGTTATTTATGCCACACTTATTTTTAATGGTAGAAAGACTTCAAAGAATATTTTAAGTTATTTTTAAGATTATCAAAATATTTTTGAAAAGAAAAATGTGGATATTCTTCTAAAGCATTGTTCTTATCATTGCTTAATTGATCTTCAAGAAGGAGGTCAATTACCATTTGGATAAATCTATAGTTTATTATAAAATAAATTGATTGAACTTAAGATATATATTGATAAGAAATTAGCTAAGAATTTCATAAGCCATTCAAAATTTCTAACAAAAACACCTAACTTATTTATAAAAAAAAAAGGATTGATTATTGCAAATGCATATGGATTAATAAGGATTCAATAAGATTACCACCAAGAATATGTACCTTTAATATCATGAATTTTTGATCAATTGAATTAAAGTAAGATTTATACTGAAATAAATCTATAAAGAATATATAATGTAGTATACATTAAAGAAAGTGATTAATGAAAGATTATATTTCAAACTAGATATAGAAATTTCGAATACAATGTCATGCCTTTTGAACTTACAAATATCCAAGCTACTTTTCAATATCTTATAAATTATATCTCTCAAGGATTTTTAGATGATCTTATCATTTGTTATTTAGATGATATTTTAATTTATTCTAAAAACACAAAAGAGTATAAACTTCAAATTTTTTATATGTTACAAAAACTTAGAGATATAAGATTATATACTAAAATAAAAAAATATATATATATTTCATACTATTTAATTGACTTCTAAGGATACATCATTTCAAATAATGGTCTTATGATAGATTGTAAGAAAGTTCAAACTATCATGGATTGAAAGGTTCTAAAAATAATAAGAGATGTTTAATGTTTTTTGGAATTTGTCAATTATCATTAGATCTTTATTAAGAACTTCCTTCAAGTTGTAGCTCCATTTACACATTTGACATATAAAAACAAATTTAAGTGAAGTAAAGAAGCCAAAACTTCTTTTGAAGCTTTAAACACATCATTTATTTTTATACTAATCTTGTATTATATCAACTTTTTAAGAAATTCTTTGTAAAAATAAAGATATCAAACTTTGTATTAGATGTCGTATTATTCCAAATGGGAGCACATAACAAACTTCACTTGATATCTTTACATTCCAAGAAATTTTGAGAAGGCAAGATCAATTACAAGATTTACAACAAATGACTTCTTGCAATTGTGGATTCATTTCAAGAATAGAGTCATTACCTAGAAGGTGCTTTTAATTGAGTATTTCATATCAATACATGTTTTGAAATGTTTCTAAGTCCATTAAAAGATGGCTTTATTAAGATTTGATTTTAAGATTTCTTATTGACCAAAAAAATAAGGTTTGTCAAATGTTCTTATTAGACATACTTATCTTGTACTAAAAAAAAAAGATATAGCTTTTGATCAATAAAAAATATTTTTTTTAAAGTTAGAGCATTTTTATCTTCAAGCAATAAAATCAATATTAGCTATTGATTTAATTTTTTTTCGAGTATGTTCAATCAAATATGACCTTTGATCTCCTTGTTTATGATATTAACAATAATTCTTTTAAGTCTTATGATACTTCTAAGTTTGAGTTTTAAAATAATCTATTTTATTTTAAAAGATATTTATATATTTTAAAAGATAAAATACAATTACATTGTTGTAATATGGATTGTTTATTACTTAAATAATAGGCACTCATGTA